GAGAAGGTCGCCTACCTTCTGGCCGCGGGGGCGAGCAGGGCGAGGAGGGGCCTCTGGAGGCCCCCGCTCCTCGCTCTGTGGACGGACTCGCCTCGACTTCTGGCTGCGGAAGGCCCCTGGTGGCCCCCGCCCGCCCTCCTGGGGTGCCGCGCCTAGGCCCGAGGGCCTAGGCTGCCTGTGCGTCGGGAGACTGGGTGGGTCCCGACGCGCGGGCGCGGCTCCGGGATCTCCTCGTCGCCACTGCGGCCTCGCGTGGGGCGCGAGGCCGCGCTCGGGGCGGTCCTGGCTCGACTGGACCGTTCTATGCCGCGCCGATCCTCCCCTTTTCCTCCTCGTCCTCTTCCTCGTCCTCATCCTCCTTCTCCTCTTCCTCTTCCAGGGTCGGCATCTGCTCAAGTTCCGCCACTCGTGGGATCCATTCGGACGCGAACGGAGAAACGCACAAGCGTCAGAAGGGGCGGGGGTGCTCGTAGGGGGGGCCTGCCCCCTGAGAAAGCGAGCCCTCTTTGATAGCCTTCCTGCCTGCTCAGAAGCTTCTCTGAGAGGCCTTCGTGCTCCCATGCGCCCCGGCTGCGTGTACCTCCGCCACGGCGCGCTATTGTGTAATTCCTCTACTATTTGGCCCGCGTGTTGTGCAGGCGCTCACTTTAAAGGAGTAAAAGAAGGGCAGTTCGTCCTAGCGCACCTAGTTCGGCTTCGCGATGGAGTGTGTCTCCGCGCCGCCACGAAAAAAAACGTCTGCGCTGATCGTGTCGTCACGGAGCGCACGTCCTAACTTCGCCGCACCCCGAGGGCAGCCATCCCTCTGAGCCACCGCCATCCCGCATCCCGCATCAGCCCGAACCGCGCGGAGTTTCTTCGCACCGCGTCCAACGCGGAGTGCCCCGCCCGATTGGGCGCACGCGCGGCTGCCGTGCGTCTCCCAACGAGGCGCGCGGCAACCGACGCCTGTCTGGAAATTGCGGCTTGGCTGCTGCGCGGCCGCGTGGAAGTTCAGAGCAGGGTTCGGGCGGGCGCACTCGCCCTTGCGATGGCCGCCGGAGTGCAAAAAAAACGCGCTGACCGAGCAAGGGCGGGCTCGAAGCCCCATCCCCCGCCCCCGCACGAGGGAGCCGCTCCCGCTCCACGCCCGCGGGCGCTGGCCGCTCCAAGTCTGCGCCCTGCACGGTCCGAAACCGCGCCGGCGGCAGCAGCCGGCAGTTGCCCGGCAGTTGCCGGCAGTTGCCCGGCAGTTGCCCGGCAGTTGCCCGGCAGTTGCCGGCAGTTCGTGGTCGGGCGGGACTGGCGCGTGTCGGGGCGGAAAAGTCTTAAGTTTCTACTTGAGGATAGCGGCTGCGCGCAGGGTTTTTCTTTATGGCACGGCGCGAAAGCATGGCCGGCAGTTGCCCGGCAGGTGCCTGGCAGTTGGTCGCCGACAGTTGCCCGGCAGTTGCCCGGCAGTTGCCCGGCAGTTGCCCGGCAGTTGCCGGCGGTTCTTGAGATGTGCCCGCCTTTCGCCGCGGGTTTCTTCAGACGGCGGAGTGGACCTTTGGACGGGCCGCCCCGCCCTTCGCGGAGCGGCCCGGCGCCCCCGTAGGAATCCCCATTAGAGTCGCCGCAGGTATCCCCGTTGGAATCCCCATAGGACGCCCCGTAGGGATCTCCGTAGGAATCCCCGCAGGGGTCCCCGTGGGAATCACCCTAAGAGTCCCTGCCGCCAACCGCTTGCCTTCCGCGCGCCGTCAGAGAAAACGTACAACAGGACCCATGTTGACTTGGAAATCCAATCGGTCGCCGCTGAGGGTTCATTTGGGTTTCCAGGCACATTTAGCGGCTTCCCTCTTGTGGACAGTAACGAACTCCCCACGCAGCGCCGACCGCCGACGCGCGCGCGCTCGCGCTCTCCTGACATAATTGAATATTTTATTAAACGATCGCAGACGCGCGCGCGCGCTGTATTGTCCAGAATAGAAAAGTCGCCATGTTGGCCTGGAAACTGAAGTGCTCCCTAAGCGGTGACCGATGGGATTTCCAAGTTAACATGGGCCTCTACGTACCCGTTTACTGCCGCAGCGTACAACGCGCAGACGCGCGCGCGCGCCGCGCGCGGCGTCCGCGCGCTGTATTGTCCAGAATAGAAAAGTCGCCATGTTGGCCTGGAAACTGAAGTGCTCCCTAAGCGGTGACCGATGGGATTTCCAAGGACACAAGGGGCTTCTACGTACCCGTTTACTGCCGCCGCGTACAACGCGCAGACGCGCGCGCGCGCGCGTCCGCGCGCTGTATTGTCCACAATAGAAAAGTCGCCATGTTTGCCTGGAAACTGAAGTGCTCCCTTAGCGGCGACCGATGGGATTTCCAAGTTAACATGGGGCCTCTACGTACCCGTTTACTGCCGCAGCGTACAACGCGCAGACGCGCCGCGCGCGCGCGCGCGCGCGCGTCCGCACGCTGTAGTGTCCACAATAGAAAAGTCGCCATGTTGGCCTGGAATCGACGTGCTCCCTTAGCGGTGACCGATGGGATTTCCAAGTTCACATGGGGCTTCTACGTACCCGTTTACTGCCGCAGCGTACAACGCGCAGACGCGCGCGCGCGCTGTATTGTCCACAATAGAAAAAGGTGCCATGTTGGCCTGGAAACTGAAGTGCCCCCTCAGCGGTGACCGACGGGAGTTCCAAGTTAACATGGGGCCTTTACGTACCCGTTTACTGCCGCAGCGTACAACGCGCAGACGCGCGCGCGCGCTGTATTGTCCACAATAGAAAAGTCGCCATGTTGGCCTGGAAACTGAAGTGCTCCCTTAGCGGCGACCGATGGGATTTCCAAGCTAACATGTGGCCTCTACGTACCCGTTTACTGCCGCAGCGTACAGCGCGCAGACGCGCGCGCTGTATTGTCCACAATAGAAAAGTCGCCATGTTGGCCTGGAAACTGAAGTGCTCCCGTAGCGGTGACCGATGGGATTTCCAAGTTAACATGGGGCCTCTACGTGCCCGTTTACTGCCGCTGCGTACAACGCGCAGCCGCGCGCACGCGCGCGCGCGCGCGCGCGCGCGCGCGTCCGCGCGGCTGTAATTGTCTCACAATTAAATAGTCGCCATTTGGGCCTGGGAACTGAAGGCGCCCCTTAGCGTGACACGATGGGATTTCCAAGTTAACATGGGGCCTCTACGTACCCGTTTACTGCGCAGAGTAAACAAAACGCGCAGACGCGCGCGCGCGCGCAACGACGCGATCCGCAGCGCTGTTTTGTCCACATAGAAAAAAGTCGCCATGTTGGCCTGGAAACTGAAGTGCTCCTAAACGGTGAAACCGATGGGATTGTCCAAGTAACAACATGGGGCCATTCTACGTAACCCCGTTTCCCTCCCCGCACGAACAGCAACGCGCAGAACCGCGCGGTCCGCGCGCTGCGCGCGCGCGCGCGCGCGCGTCCGCGCGCTGTATTGTCCACAATAGAAAAGTCGCCATGTTGGCCTGGAAACCGAAGTGCTCCCTTAGCGGTGACCGATGGGATTTCCAAGTTAACATGGGGCCTCTACGTACCCGTTTACTCCCGCAGCGTACAACGCGCAGACGCGCGCGCGCGCGCGCTGTATTGTCCACAATAGAAAAGTCGCCATGTTGGCCTGGAAACTGAAGTGCTCCTTTAGCGGCGACCGATGGGATTTCCAAGCTAACATGGGGCCTCTACGTACCCGTTTACTGCCGCAGCGTACAACGCGCAGACGCGCGCTGTATTGTCCACAATAGAAAAGTCGCCATGTGGGCTTGGAAAATGAAGTGCTCCCTTAGCGGTGACCGATGGGATTTCCAAGTTAACATGGGGCCTCTACGTACCCGT